AAAACAAAAAACAGAATACTATTCAGTGTTAAAGAGAAATGAGCTATCAAGCCACAAAAATACATATAGGAAACAAATGCATACAGCAGAGTTAAAGAAGCCGGTTTGAAAAAGCTACATCTGTATGATTCTACCTAAATGACATTCTGGAAAACACAGAAGAGCCACTTAAAAGATTAGTGATTGGTAGAGATTTGGAAGGAGGGAGGAAGGAATGAGTAGGGGGTGCACAGGGGATTTGTAAAGCATTGAAAATATTGTGTATGATTTGTAATTAATGGTAGATACATATCATTATACTTTTGTCAAAACCTACAGAACATACAACACAGTGACTCTAATGTAAATTACTAAGTACTTTAGTTAATAATAATGTATCAGTATTCTCATGCGTGTAAGGAATCTAAGATTCAAGATGGTGGGCAATGATCTATACACAAACTAGGTATTTTCTGTTGAATTTTTCTCTAAACCTAAAACTGCTTTAAAAAAAGTTAATTAATTTAAAACATAACCAAATAAAGGGCAATACGGAAAGGTATGGTTAAATGCACAGGCTTTGACGACTGTCTACTTTGTGTCTGAATTTGTTACCTCAAAGCAATGAAACCTTTGGAAGTTTATTTAAATCTTCTCAGCTCTGGCAGCCTGAGGCCAGCTGCCCTGGCTCACCCCTGTAATCCTAGCACTCTGGGAGGCCAAGGCAGGTGGATTGCTTGAGCTCACATGTTCGAGACCAGCCTGAGCAAAAGTGAGACCCTGTCTCTACTAAAAATAGAAAAACTGAAGCAAAAGGATCATTTGAGCCCAAGTTGGAGGTTGCTGTGAGCTATGATGTCATAGCACTCTACCTAGGGTGACAGCTTAAGACTCTGTCTAAAAAAAAAAAAAAAAAAAACTCAGCTCTGAAGTTTATGGTCAGCCTTTGCCGTACAGATATCTCACATATATCTTACACAAAGCAAGTCAACAATGCATATTTGCTAACCATTAATCTCCCTAGTTATAATTTTAACTGTTACCTAGGAACCTGTCTTTGGTTTAATTTCGGGTATAGAGCAATAATAATCAGGCTTTATCCTAACTTTTCAACTGTTTCTTAATATGAATCATCTGTCTACAAATGAATAAATTTCCAAAAGTGGACTGTAACAAATAAATAGTGAAAATCAACAATGAATTTCACATGGATTTGAATTATATAATACAATTTATATTACCATGAACATAGTGAAGAATAATTGTCAATTTTAATACTACATCTTATCCTTATCAACTTTATGAGATATGTGGGGTAGCTACAATCCCCATTTACAGCAGATAAAAAGACATTAGAACAATCTTTTGCCAAACTTGGTCTCAATTCTTTCAAATATCCTGTAAAACTCTGAGACTATCATTTGATTTCAAATTATCTCTAAAGTCATGGAAACTCACTGTGGTAAAATCAAATCTTTTTTTCTTTCTGATTAAATGGAGAGATGATATGTTTTAATAACATAAGCATGATGTAGGCCAATAATTTGTACTCTTTGAGCACTCAGGGGCTTCCTGTAACTCTGTCATGTATCCTACACTTTAATATAAAAGAGAAAGTAGGGATAATGGTGTTTGATGTTCTATTCTTTACAATTTTTTAAAAAGTTAAAACTGGCACCGTACAATCATTAAATATTATGATAGATGTAGGAAGGGAAGAGATTTGGAGTGACTGAACTCTTTTAAACACTAAAAATCTGTTTTTGATAATCAATCTTTTAAAAAGTAGCAAAAAAGCAAATTTTCTCTATTTGCAAACACATACTAAAAACAAGTACTAGGGATACTTTTTAAGCCTTAAATAACTATTTACCTATCCTAAATCTTGAAAAAAAAGTACATGAAATACATTAATATATGAGAGCTCAGTTCCAGAGTTAAAATATGCTATTATCAATATTTAAAAGAATATTTACTTTTTTATGCACTGTAGTTTAGTGTACATAAGTTAACAATTACTTCTGAAAACTGATGATTGGAATATGGCAAACTTGGGTACGTACTGCTTGTATGGCTACTGATTTTCTTGAGAATATCTGGAACTCTGTAGTCTGATTTCCTCCAGGGAATTATAAAAAATAAAGTCACAACCTTTACCCCTTTTCTGAAAACATATCTGATATCTCCCTTTAGAGATTTGAACATTTAGGCACCATGGTAGGGAAGTGAGGTCACAAGGTCCACTGAATTCATAACAGCACCATACCAAAGACACACTTCGGTCCAACCTCTTTGTTGCCAGTGGTCCTAACATAACATTAAGCTATGAAAAGCAAAGAATTCACATCCAAAGAAAACAGAAATAGTAGCTGAATTTGGTTAGTACTGGGCCCAAGCCTGACTGCATCTATAATGGGCTGTAAAACAGATAGCATCTGATTACTTTGATGTTCCAAAATACAGAAAGCATATCAATACATCAGGTGTAGTAATAGACACATGGGTAACAGTAAATATAAACATAATCCTAACTTCTTAATAGATGAGTGGCAAATTTCACAAGATTCTTCTTTCATGAAATTTATACAAGAACATCCTTGAATTTGCAATATGTTTTATGTTTTTTAAAAGATTCTACGAGTATAAGCAAAACTTTAGACTAAAGATTTAAAAAATTAAGCAAGTTATGACAGAATTCAAGATCCTTTAGTAAACTTTTCTGTTTGAATTAAACATTTTTTGTTGTTTTTATGTAAAACTTTAAAAGTATCACTCACTACATCAGTCATCCTGATGGCGGAAGAAACATTCATAGCACGGATAAAGCCCCTAGGGTTAATTTCAGACAAAGTAGAAAAATTCCTGGACCAGATATAACCTGATAATTAGACAGCATATGAATGCTAATCGTGAAGTGACAGATGAGACTTCAAATTCTTTACAATGTATTGGGACGAATGCAAAGACGAAAGTCAGGTCAGGATGAAGGAGGAAAACTGCAAATATTATTTTCCACTTACAACAGGCAAAAGTTAACACCTAAGCTTTGGGGTAGGAGTTATGACCAGGATTTGTAAAGATTGAGTTCAGGAGTCCACGGATGGTTGAAAGTCAAGTCATGACAAATTTTCTCCGCCCACGACCTTTAGCCCAGATGTTAATTCTTCCAATTGGGGCTCCCAGGAGGAGGAAGCTAGGGTCCACCCACAGAGGAGACAGCGTGACCTTTGCTCTAGTTTATCCTGAGACCGCAGAGCAGAGGCAGGAGGGAGAGGTGCCCACAGCTTCCAAGTGTGGCCCTGTCCGTTTCGCCCTAACTCCTCCACTCTTTCACTTATCCCCACCCGAAGTGCCCTCTCACCCGGGCAGGACAGCTTGGCGAGTGGCGCCAACATGTTCAACATCACCGAGACTCTGGATCCGACACGACGGAAGAAAGGCGGTCTGCGGCTCGCCGCTGGCGCAGGACCTCTAGGCCGCGGGGGGCGCCATCACCCTCAGCGCAGCAAGAACTCCTCCGCTGCAGTTTGCCTCGCAGCTCAGTCGACCGCTCTTGCTTCACTGCGTTCCCGCCTCCTTCTCGTTCTGCGCCGGCGCCACGCATGACACGCGGGCCAGCAGAGGCTTCCGGGTCAGGTACCAAATGAGAAACGGGAAAGACGCCAAGTCCCGGGGCGCCCAGGCAAGGTGACTCCGGAGCTTGGAGTGCTGGGGGAACAGCGCACAAGTCTTATTGCACGACGCACGCGCAGCGAAAGGCAGTGGAAGGCGGCGCGGCGCGGCGGTGGGGCGGGCGCGAAGGGCTTGCTGGGAGTTGTGGTCTTCTGCGCAAGCGCCAGCCGAGCCCCTCTGGAGGTCTGCGCAGGAGGGGGTGAATTGACTGACGTCTGATTGGCTGTCCCGAAAAATGAAAAGTCTTTGTGGGCCGAGGCAGGGACCCACCAGGAGACCGGGCGGGATTTCGGGCCCCAGGAGGCGGGGCTTCTGGACTTCGGGCGCGAGCGGTTGAAAGACTGTTGGTGTCGGTTCGGTTGCTCTGGTCCGTTTCGTCGTCCCAGCTCACCCCCATGGCTGACCCCGAGGAGTTGCGGGTTTCCTCACCGCCCGCGCCGCCTCCCTCTTCTCCTTCATCTTCAGACACCTCTTCAGCATCTTCCCCGGGCCTCCCAGTGAGTTTGGGCTGGCCAGTTCCGAGCAGGAGCAGCGGCCGAACGGTGGACCCACTGGAAGAAGTGGAGCTGCAGATCGGAGACGTAAGTCCTGAGTCTCCGGGCAGGTCCCGGACTACGTCGCCACTCGGCGCTGCTGGGCAGACGGGCAGCTGCAAGGAGTCGCCCACCCGGCCCCGCGACTACCCTTCTAAAGTACCACCCCACCCTAGCATTCTGTCTTTAGATTTAGTATTGTATTGGGGAATTAAGGGGTTATCTCTCCACCCCAAACTGTATTTTTTTTTTGTCTTGCCCTCTGGTTTCAATTATCCTCGGTAACCCGAAACCACCCAGTTCTGCGCCGCTGGGTGCTTGCTGTCTCTGCCCCCTCCACTCCCATCGGAGAACGGTTTAACTGCATGGATTCTCTTCGCTGATCCTGAGTTTAGGATTACGCTACGATTTCTTTACGTGGGACTCAGCCTGCTGTCCTAGTTGGCTACTTACCCAGAGCCAGCTGATAATGCTCTTGTCTGTCTGAGGCTTGCTCTGCGCGGGACGCAGCTGGGAGAACTTAGTCATGTTAACTGGCTTCGTTAGCGGTTTGGTGCGGGACTCCTCCCTATGATCATAATTAGTTTGGATGGTTTCTGTTTAATCTCCACTTCCCGGAAACCGACTCCCTCTCCTCCCAACCCTAACTCTCACACCGCTGGAGGTGAGGGGTTGGGGTATGGGGGTACGGTCTCAATTTCTGTATTTGTGGACTTGGACTCTTGAGTGGGTCAAGTGGGATGAGGTATGTACAGGGTGTAACTTTTCTGGGAAAACCTTGTGGAATAGACCGTTCTTTGCACATTGGAAACCGTGAACTCTTAGTATCTCGTTGCTCCACAGATAATTGTTCTTTTTAGAAGATGACTAAAGTGCTGATTCTGCGTTTATTTTTGTAGAATAAGACTGGTTACAAGTAACCTTGTAGACATGAATTGCCGATGTGTTATCTAGGAGCAATGTCATTGTATATAGAAAGTGAAGAAAAACATTTAATTAAAAAAACTGAATGTTCCACTAAGAGCTGGATATTTTCTGCATCTGTGTGTGATTTTGTTGATTTTATTTGTCAGAGCTCAGAGTATCTGTTCTTTTTTAAAATTTCAGATTAATATGAGGGTGGAAATGATTAGGTTACATTGTTGTGTTTGTTAGGTGCAGTCAAGTCTCTGTTGTCGTAGTGCTCTTCACCCAGGAGATGTGTCACATACACTGATATTGTGCCTTTTAGATGAGAGCGCACGCATCCCCTCACCCCTCCACCCCCGCAAACTTTCATTTAATTCAGTTTTTCTCTTCTGTGGGTATGTATTTGTCTACTGGCTTCATGTTAATATTAAGTACTTTAGATTCCTGCTTTTCCATTCTTGTGATTCTTTACTAAGGAGAATGTTCTCCAACTTTGTCCAGGTTAATACAAAAGATGTAAAGCCTCCTTTTTTATGGTTGAATAGTATTCCATGGTATACATGTACCACAGTTTATTAATCCATTCATGGGTTGATGGGCACTTGGGTTGATTCCACATCTTAGTGATTGTACAATTTTCTGCAAATGTCCTTATGATAAAATGATTTTTTTCCTCCTGGAAAGGAAGGGAAAGACAAATGTGAGTCTTTGATTCACATTTCTCTGATAATTAGGGATTATGAGCATTTTTTCATGTGTTTGTTGGCCATTTGTCTGTCATCTAATGTTCTTGTCTCTTGCACAGTGATAGATGGTATTGATAGATAGTGATAGATAGTGGTAAATACCTAGTAAAGGGATTGTGGGATCAAATGGAAGGTCTATTTTGAGTTCTTTGAGTTCTCCATACTACTTTTTTTTCTTTTGTAGAGACAGAGCCTCAAGCTGTTGCCCTTGGTAGAGAGCACTGTGGCATCACAGCTCACAACAACTTCCAGTTCTTGAGCTTAGGTGATTCTCTTGCGTCAGCCTCTGGAGTAGCTGGGACTACAGGCGCCCGCCACACAATGCCCAGCCATTTTTTTGTTGCAGTTTGGTCGGGGCTGGGTTCAAACACACCACCCTCAGTATATGGGGTCGGGGCCCTACTCACTGAGCCACAAGTGCCTCCAAATTCTCCATACTTCTTTCCAAAGAGGCAGTATTAGTTTGCAAACCCACCAACAGTGCACAAGTGTTCCTTTCTCTCCATAGCTGCTATAGCGTCTGCAGCTTTGGGACTTTGTGATGTGAGCTATTGTCACTGAGGTTAGGTGATAACTCAAGGTGGCTTTGATTCACATTTGTCTGATAATTAGGGATTATGAGCATTTTTTCATGTGTTTGTTGGCCATTTGTCTGTCATCTAACGTTCTTGTCTCTTGCACAGTGATAGATGGTATTGTTTGCTCTTTTTTATTATTGATTAATTCAAGTTCTCTGTATATTACAGTTATCAACCCTTTGTCAGCTTTGTAATATGCAACTGTCTTTTTCCATTCTGAATGAAATTTGTCTTTCCCTTAGCTGAGCAGAAGCTTTGTAGCTTAATTAAATCCCATTTATTTTTATTGTTGTAGTTGCCAATGGAGTCTTCATAAAATCCTTCCCCAGGCCAATATCTTTTAGAGTTTTTCCCACACTTTTCTTCTAGAATTTTTATCATTTCATGTCTTAGACTTAAATCTTTTATCCATCTTGAGTCAGTTTTTGTACGTGGTAAGAGGTACGGGTCCAGTTTCAGGTGATTATCCATTTCTCCCAGGACCATTTATTGAATAGGGATTCTTTTTCTCAGAGTAACTATTCTTTTATTTATATATTTTCATTGTTAACAGGTAAAAATAGTGGGCCTATGCTCATGTTACCCAAATATTGGTAAAAGTAGTCCATGATAAAGTCCTTCAGACACTTCTGGTACTTAGTGTCAAGTAGTCCAAGTCATCTTGTTGAGCTAAGTGAGACTCCAGTATATTTTCAGTTAAAAAACAGTACTTATTTTTCATGTCTCAAAAAATAATGGATATTTTTTAGCAGACACATTTCTTCATTTTATATTAAAGAATTTCTTAGAGTTCTTGAGAGAGGCACTGCTTTAGTTTGGAAATATGTTGCTTTTAAAGAAAGTAACTTAGACATTTGATTCAAAACATTAAGCTATTTTTAGAGTACATTTTTATAAAGTGAGATGAGGATTTTAAAACTAAACTTGACTTTTTTTTTTTTTCCCTTTAATTTCAGGCAGCATTTTCATTAACCAAACTTCTTGAAGCCACATCTGCGGTATCAGCTCAAGTGGAAGAGCTTGCCTTCAAATGTACAGAAAATGCACGTTTCCTTAAAACCTGGCGGGACCTTTTGAAGGAGGGCTACGATTCTTTGAAGCCTGACAACTGATTTGGCATGCTTGCTTGTTTGCATAATGACTAAAAATTCATACTTCCTCATATGTGATTTTGCACATGTAGAAGATGCTCTCTTTTTAGCAGTTTTGTGTACTCAGAATGAAATTTTTCTAGACTTTGTGAAAATTGAGTCCTGATTATTTTTGATGCTGACCAATACGTGTTTATCCTTAAATACTTTGTTTTCTAAACTTCCATAGAATTTTTTATGAAGGTTAATTTCATCAGTAGATGGTTAATAGTGCCACAGTGCTATGAGTAGCAAACTAGTTAGCCCATTATATGTTTTACAACAGGTTGGCTGAGTTTGACATTGAGGTTTATCTTATAGACCAAGGGAGGTAACTTTAAGGTTGCCAGTGGTAAATCTAGCTCCATTAGGCTATGTTTTCTGGAGCCATTGATTGTGATTTTTACTTTTAGACCCTAAAATAGTGTCAACACTAGCAAAATATTTGTTGAATAAGAGTTGACAAAAAATGAAAAGCTATATTTTTTCCCTATATTTAGCATGAAGACTAATTGTTTCTTTAAACAAATGTGTGACTTAGAACTTCATTGATTTAAAGGAAAATGTTCTCTTTTTTTAATGGGGATTTGAATTTTGGCGATATCTTTTGAAAATATAAATTTTTCCCCCCCTTCTATGACGTTTTTAAAAAAGTCTTCAGAAAATAAAAGACGGTCAGGAAAGAATGCATATTTTTACCTATTTATTCCTGTGACTGTTTTGATAGTTAATATTTTTTGTATCTGATATTTTTGTATCTTTGATTGCTGTCTTTAAAGTGCCTTATCAAATGTATGGCTCTGTGCTATTTTGGAGCTTTGCGAGTTGTTTATGTAGTAATTCTAAAGAATTTACCTTTTTAATTTTGTGAAGGCAAAAAGTGGAAACCAAGTAAACACATGCATATGTAAAAAAATAAAATAGAAAAAGAATTTACCTTTCAGTGTATCAAATTTAAATGCTTGTTTTCATATTATTTGATCTTAGTGACAATGTTCTATTTTGTTTGTCCTGTATCTTGTTTTTTTT